TCGCTGGCCCTCTACTTTACCAAGCATGTCCTTCTCCAGGGACTGGTCCCTCCCGATAGTGTGTGCAAAGTACGTGAGATGAAGTCTTGCCATCCTTGCTTCTAGGGAGCTTTCTGGCTGTACTTCTTCCAAGACAGATTTGTTCATTCTTTTGGCAGTCCATAGTATATGAAATATTCTTTGCCAACAGCACAATTCAAACCCATGAATTCTTCTTCGGTCTTCCTTATTCATCGTTCAGCTTTTGCATGCATATGAGGCAATTGAAAACACCATGGTTTGGGTCAGGCGCACCTTAGTCTTCAAGGTGACATCTTTTCAATAAAAAGGTCTTTCGCAGATTTGCCCAATGCTACGCGTCGTTTGATTTCTTGACTGCTGCTTCCATAGGTGTTGACTGTGGATCCAAGTAAAATGAAATCCTTGATAACTTCAATCTTTTCTCTGTTTATCATGATGCTGCTTATTGGTCCAGTTGTGAGGATTTTTGTTTTCTTTATGTTGAGGTATAATCCATACTAAGGGCCATACTCAGGTATAATCCATACTAAGGGCCATACTCTGATTTTCATCAGTGAGTGCTTCAAGTCTTCTTCACTTTCAGCAAGCAAGCTTGTGTCATCTGCATATTGCAGGTTAATGAGTCTTCCTCCAATCCTGATGCCACATGCTTCCTAATGTAGTCCAGCTTCTAGGATTACTTGCTCAGCATACAGACTGAATAAGTGTGGTCAAAGGATACAACCCTGACGAACAGTCTTCCTGACTTTAAACCACACAGTCTCCCCTTGTTCTGTTCAAATAACTGTCTCTTGGTCTATGTGCAGGTTCTGCATGAACATAAATTGTTCTGGAATTCCCATTCTTCACAGTGTTATCCCTAATTTGTTATGATCTACACAGTCGAATGCCTTTGCATAGTCAATAAAACACAGGTAAACATCTTTCTGGTATTCTCTGCTTTCAGCCAGGATCCATCTGACGTCAGCAGTGATAGCCCTCATTCGACGTCCTCTTCTGAATCTCGCCACAACTATGGATCTTTTCCAGTCGGTTGGCCAGGATGCTGTCTTCCAAATTTCTTGACATAGATGAGTGAGCACCTCCAGTGCTGCATCCATTTGTTGAAACGTTTCAATTGGTATTCTCTCAATTCCTGGAGCCTCGTTTTTCACCATTCCCTCCAGGGCAGCTTGGACTTCTTCCTTCAGTAACATTGGTTCTTGATCATATGCTACCTCCTGAAATAGTTGAATGTCAACCAATTTTTTCAGCACAGTGACTCTGTGTATTCCTTCTATCTTCTTTTGATGCTTTCTGTGTCATTCAATATTTTCCTCATAGAATCCTTCAATATTGCAACTTGAGCCTTGAAATTTTTCTTCAGTTCTTTCAGCTTGAGAAATTGCTGAGCATGTTCTTCTCTTTGGGTTTTCTAACTCTAGGTCTTTGTACACTTCATTATAATACTTTGTCTTCTCAAGCCACCCTTTGAAATCTTCTGTTCAGCTCTTTTACTGCATCATTTCTTCCTTTCACTTTAGCTACTCTATGTTCCAGAGCAAGTTTCAGAGTCTCTTCTGACATCCATTTTGTCTTTTCTTTCTTTCCTGTTTTTTAAATGACCTTGTGCTTTCTTTGTGTATGATGTCCTTGATGTCATTCCCCAACTCGTCTGGTCCTTGGTGATTAATGTTCCGTGTGTCAAATCTATTCTTGAGATGGTCTTTAAATTCAGGTGGGATATATTCAAGGTCGTATTTTGGCTCTTGTGGACTTGCTCTAATCTTCTGCAGCTTCAACTTGAACTTGCTTGTGAGCAACTGATGGTCTGTTCCGCAGTCGGCCTCTGGCCTTGTTCTAACTGATAATATTGAGCTTCTCCATCTTCTCTTTCCACAGATGTAGCCGATTTGGTTTCTGTGTAGTCTACCTGGCAAGGTCCATGTGTATGTTGTTGTTGTTAGGTGCCAGTCCAGTCAGTTCTGACTCATAGCGACCCAATGTACAACAGAACAGCCCCATCCTGCACCATCCCCACAATCATTGTTATGCTTGATCCCATTGTTGCAGCCACTGTGTCAGTCCCTCTCGGTGAGAGTCTTCCTCTTTTTTGCTGACCATCTACCAAGCATGATGCCCTTCTCCAGGGAGTGGTCCTTCCTGATAACATGTCCAAAGTATGTGACACAGTATGTGAGACAAAGTCTCACCATCCTTGCTTCTAATAATGACAATTCGGGTGTACTTGTTCCAAGACAGATTTGTTTGTTCTTCTGGCAGTCCATGGTATATTCAATATTCTTTGCCAACACCATAACTCAAAGGCATCAGTTCTTCTTTAGTCTTCCTTATTCACTGTCCAGCTTAAACCTGCATATGAGGTGACTGAAAAACACCATAGCTTGGGACAGGTGCACCTAAGTCCTCAAAGTGACATCTTTGTTTTTTAACGCTTTAAACAGGTCTTTTGAGCAGATTTGCCCAATGCAGTGTGTCGTTTGATTTCTTGACTGCTGCTTCCAGCAGTTGATTGTTGATTGTGGATCCAAGTAAAATGAAATCCTTGACAACTTCAATCTTTTCTCTGTTTATCATGATGTTGCTTATTGGTCCAGTTGTGAGGATTTTGGTTTATGTTGAAGTATAATCCATTCTGAAGGCTGTAGTCTTTGATCTTCATCAGTAAATGCTTCAAGTCTTCTTCATTTTCAGCAAGCAAGGTTGTGTCATCTGCATGTTGCAGGTTGTTAATGAGTCTTCCTCCAGTTCTGATGCTGTGTTCTTCATATAGTCCAGCTTCTTGGATCATATGCTCAACATACAGATTGAATAAGTATGGTGATACACACCTTTCTTGACTTTAAACCACGCAATATCTCCTTGTTCTGTTTTTTCATCTCTCCAGGTTTAGCCCTAAAATTTACTCAGCTGTCCAGAGTTCCTCTTGTTATATAAATTGCTGACTGAAGCCTTGCCCTTCCAAAGCCTCAAGTGAGATTTCATTTGCTAGAACTGAGACAGAAGGAGCAGGCTCTAAAGGGTTGATTGAAAACAGATTTCACCAATGGAACGAGGGACTATAGCATTTTGTTTCTACACAGGCACTCCTTGTTTCCTTCTGTTCCTGATCTGAATTACATCCTTGTCACTTAAAGCCAAACTCAGAAGCCAGGTCTGAAAATCCTTCTGATTTACTCTCTAAATCATGTCATACTTCTTTGGTACACTCCCTCAGATATTCTATAAAGTGCCTGTGACCTCTCATCCATTACATGCAGAGAAGACATACGCAGCAGTAGGTAGGTTTCCTGAGTTCCCACAGAGAGTAAGAGTGAAGGAAGGTACTGTTAGACTTTAATTCCTGCAAGGCTGGATAATTTCAGGTGAATGGCTGTAATGGCGATGGCTAGAGGAGGGAAACTGACTTAAGTCAGCTAAAGGAGGACTGTTTCACTTGCAGTACTCCTTTTAATGAAAGAAAAAGATGACTGATGGAATTCAGTCAACTTTTAATCAAACTCTGTAGCCTGTACACTTTCCAGTTTGGTACCTCTCAAAACAGTTATTTGCCCAAACGGAAGTGAGAATGGTTTTCTAGGCAAAATTGGTGTTTTAAAAGCAGTGTTGATGATTAATGAGAAAATAGGACATTCATATTTGTATTATAATTTTCAGATTGGCCCCACACTGTAGGAGGTAATCAAGGAAAAGGGAGTATTGATATTACCAAGGTCTACATGTTTATGGTCCCCATTAGATCCAATATTTGACGGTCAAACACATCTCTTCTCAAAAATAGATGCAACTGCCTGCTTTTCATACTTCTGGGAATAACCTTGTCTTCTCATTACCATCTCTTTAGAGACATTAAAAACTACCACCATACTCTCCTAGAATAAGCAAACTTTCCTTATTTCAAGAACTCTCATTTGAAAGAGAAACCAGTTTTTAGGGTTGAAAACCTTAGGAGCAAATGAGATTGTGTTTTTGCTTTTTGCAAATGGCTAAATCTAGTCCATACGTGGGAGGTGTGTATGGACACTGGCCGATGCTCCGAAAGTATGGTTCTTCTTGGGAGTGGAGAGAACTGTTTGTCAGTCCTGTTCAGAATGGCAGCTGAAAGCAGCCTTTAGGGCTATTACTGATGGAACAGACCACTGGGAGAGTAGAGAAGAAAGGAGGAACACCACTGGAAGAAAAGTAAAATGAAGGTTGGAATGTACTTTCAGATCTTTAAGTCTTGCCCAAATCTATTCATTCCACTTGCTTCTTTTTATTTTCAAGTTCTTTATTTGGAACTGGCCAGCACCTTCCAAATCTGTTGGTGTTTATATTTTTAGTAGCCTTGGCGTGTTCCAGAAGCAAAGCCCTTCAGACTTTTTTGACTATAACCTACTGTAAGAAATATATTTTGCACAGCAATCTAATTTGTGATACACATGTGTGATACATTTTTTTAATTAAAAAATTTTAGTTATGACCCACTAAATTAATTTCACATCCCATTAGTGGGTCAAGAACACTACCGTGAAAAAAGGCCTAGAGTCTGGGATCGCTGCATGTATCTTGGATATTTTCTTCTCATTGGCTCCTCTTTCCTCCTATAGATCTAGCAGCTCAGAATATTGTTTATTTTGCCCATCACAGTTTCAACTTCCTCCTTAAAACCTGGAGCATCCCTAAAGTGCTCATCAACCCTGCCGTGGTCTCACTGACTGAGTACTTACTTTCAGAATAAAATTTTCTGTCTCACTTCCTCACTTCTAGGAGCCCCAGTGGTGCAGTGGTTAAAGTGCCTGGCTGCTAACCAAAAGGTCAGGGGTTTGAACCCACCAGCTGCTCTGTGGGAGAAAGATGTGGCAGTCTGCTCCCATAAAGATTCATAGCCTTGAAAACCCTATGGGGCAGTTCTACCCTGTCCTATAGGGTTGCTATGAGTTGGAAAGCGACTTGATGGCAGCAGGTTTGGTTTGGGTTTATCTTCACTTCTATCTTTCATGGCTCCGCCCTCTCATACTAACATATGAAGAGGAATCTGTTTTGTAAAAATTTTGAAATGGTAACAACTCAACTTCTACTTAGAGGAAATAACAGAAGGATTCGTACTCTGAAAAGACAGTTGGCTGAGTCGCTGCAGTTCAAAGGCTGTAGAATATTATCACTGGGATGGGATGGAGGATCACAGACATGTTTAAGAAACACAAAAGTTTCTTAAATCAGATTGTATTTATTAAAATCAATACAAAATATCTTGGAGTTCAAAGATTACCTGCTGTGTTGTTAATCCCCTAACAGGTTAGTGCCAAAGAGAAGAGTTAATCATTTCAACGGAAGTAACAGGAAAATTTTAAGTCAGAATTAATTACACATCTGGTTGCAGACTGAGCTTATTCAAGCTCTGAGGTCTCAGTATGCTCCTCTAAGTTTTCAACCATCAACAGCCCAAATCGATTGCTTCTCTCATGCCAACACTTCGTACCTGAGGTGGTTCTCACTCTAGTCTTTGGCCCACTGGTACCTTGTTTCTTCTGCCTTTTCTTTTTTGAATTTGATTTACCCTTTGGTAGGAATAATTCAGGAGGAGCATAGGACTGCAAGGCACTGAACAGCTGTTCATAAAGTTGCTTTGCCTCAGGACACATGCTCAGGAGATTTTCCCCAGAGGTTGTTGATGCTAGTAGGTCTCGGCATAGTCCATGCACCAGGCTTCCACTGTACAATCTGTCAAGGGGAGAAAAAGCTTAGGTTCAATGCACTGGACAGCTATCATTAATGTGGCAGAAACAAACTGAGAAACAAACATACTGAGAACTCTTACTGCTTCTGAAAAATTATTATTAAAACTAAGAATAATCTGTTCCTTGAAGGAAGGAACTAAGTTGTTATTACAAAGATTAATTATTAGCTGGTGGTACTTAACAACTTTATCAGCAAGTTAAATGATGAATGCTAACTGGTTTTGCAATTGGCCCCAAGCCAAGGGTGACCTAAAAAGGAAAGGAATAAAGGATCTCTAGGTCTAGGGCCAATTAATCCTATTCAGTAGAGGGTTCTAGGGTTAGCTCAGACATGAGGCCCAGAGATGCATTAAAAACACTATTTACTGCTAGGAAGCTTTTCACCTTGAAACATATTTATAGTCATAGCAGCAGCATATTTTGTATGTCTCTATACCACTCATTCGCTCAGCAAATATGTGAGTACTTAACTCGTATGGTAGGCACTGGCACTACAACAGTAAACAGACAATTCCCTGCCATCATAAAGCCTACATTCTAGTGGAGAGAGACAAACATTATACAATCTCAAATATTCCATTCTCTCACCATCCCCCTTTTACCTCCTGGATAGACAATCACCAAGATGGACAATCCATTGATCCTACAACTTTTTCACTGGGCCACACCCTACTGCTATCATTTTCTTCTTCCTTACCCAGCTGAAACTCCACAGTCAAGCAGGATCACTCCCTGGGACACAGGCTCAACTCCCTTGCCTCCTCTCCCTCTTCACACTTGCCTGACAAAACAACAGCCCTGGACAAAGCCCACTTACACATCTAATAGGCATCTCACTGGAATAAAAACTCCATGAGAGCAAAGACATTGTTTATTGTTTTGTTCACTACATCCCTAGCACAGAGCAGGCACTTAATAAATATCTGAATGAATGAATGATTGAGTGGACACTATGCCAGGTACTAAGAAGTACTATAAAAAAAAGAGCAAGACTAGAGTGATTGGGGTGAGGAGTAGTATTTCACATAGGGTGGTCAGGAAACACCTCTATAAGGTGACATTTGAGCGAAGACCTGAAGGAAGTTAGGGAATGAGTTATATCCTACCAACACCTGCTTTTTTTTTCTTCTCCCCCTCATATTAGTGTTTTACTTTAAGCAACTGATTTAAAAAATTTTTTTTACTGGATCCAGTCATGGAAACTTCCTTTGCAAATACAGAAATAACAATATTTTTCCCATTTCCAGCTCTTCAGCTAGAACAGTGATCCAAGATCATTTACGCTACCATTAATTATAAAAAGTAACTTTGCTTTACATGTAATTTCCCTCTTGCGTGCGTCCATGTGAAGTACAGTTTCGTGCGGTGCTTACCGAGTTAGGTCTGGCTCTGGGAGAGGAGTGGAGAGCAGCTGATTGAGATACAGCCCCATCTGCAGACAGCACTGCCACTGGCAGAAGACGTGAGCTGTGTCTAAATCCACACCCCTGCTCAGCCGGGTCTGTGCCTTCACTCTGTGCAACTCTTTACACAACATCTCGGCACCATCGTCCCTCACATCTTCCTTACCTAGATAAAGAAACAACCGAAGGGCAGTATTTCAAAAACATATCACCTTCTAGTTCTCCACATATAAAACAACATATTCCATAAAGGAGACAATTAGTTTACAAGGCTCAAATGCTTTTCTGTTTTGGCTCTTCACTATTTTAACTCCAAAGTAAAAAGCCTTGCTGTTTAAATTGAAATATTTATACTGAGATACCTTTTTTTTTTTATTGTACTTCAGGTGAAGGCTTACAGAACGAAGAGTTTCTCATGAAACAGTAGTACACATATTGTTTTCTGACATTGGTTAACAACCCCACATGTCAACCCTCTAACTTCTCAACCTTTTCTTTTAGTGAAAATACACATAGCCAAAGATACACCATTTCAAAAATTTCTACATGCGCAGTTCAGTGACATTGACTACGCTCTTCCAATTGTGCTGTTATTCTCACTTAAGATGAAGGCTTAGAGAACAAAATAGTTTCTCATTTAACAGT